CCCCTTTCCTAATATCTTTTGGTTATTTTTTTATATTATTTTGTGTGTGTGTGTGAGGAAGATTAGCCCTGAGCTAACATCTGACGCCAATCCTCCTCTTTTTTGCTGAGGAAGACTGGCCCTGGGCTAACATCTGTGCCCATCTTCCTCCAGTTTATATGGGACACCTCCACAGCATGGCTTGACAAGCAGTGCACTGGTGCACGCCCAGGATCCGAACCCCAGGCCCCCGCACCGGAGCACATGCACTTAACCGCTATACCACCGGGCTGGCTCCGCTTTTGGTTATTTTTATCCTTCTGCTATTCCCTTTAAGGACTTCTTTAAAATTTATTCTTGTTTACTTTGGAGGCCATTTTCTTGTACAACTTTTAACATATCTTACCAATTTTTGTATGTAGTATTCTTTTCATTGTATTTTATATAGTTTGAAATTTCGTTTTTATTTCTGTCTTTCGTTATAGCATTATTTAGGAGAATGTTACTTAATTTTCAAGTAGCTCTGGGAGTTTTATTTTTATTATTTCTAATGTTATTGGCTTATGAACGGGGAATATGGTTTTTAAACATTAATTATTTTGAATTTGTTGCGGTCTTTTTTAGAGCCAAGCATATGGTTGGTTTTTGTAAATGTTCCACGAAAAAAAATGTATGTTTTCTATTTGAGGTTATAAGGATCTCTATACCTCTGAAATAAGAGTTGCGGTTGTGTAAAGTAGAAGGAAAATAGGATGGGGCGATGATGAGAGAGCCTTCAGAAGTCCCCGTAACATCTGCCCTTCTTGCATTTCTGCCTGCCACACCTGCCCTCTTCCTTGTCCTGTACCTTCCGTGGGTGAACTTCACTCTCCTGGAGAAGACCACCCCTCTGCTTGTGTAACGGCCCCCATCCATCTCACTTGCTGTCTTTCCTGCATCAGTAAACGTATCTGCTCTACTGGGTCATTCCTGTCAGCACAGAAAAATGTATTTCTCCCATCCTAAAAATGTCTTCTTTCAACCCCATATCCCTTTCCCTCTCCCTCCCAGGTCTCTCACATGTTTAGTCTTTCCTCTGTTGCAAACCTGCTTGACACGTGGCTATTGAGCACCTGGTGGTACGTGTCTAGTCCCCACTGAGGTTATCTAATTGCATTGGCCTGTGATTCTTGCTGTTCACTCTTCATCCTCCTCCACTCAGGCTTTCCCTGCCTACCACCATCACACCACCACTGTCCGCCCAAACTGCTTTGGTCAGGAGTGCCAGTGGCCTCATGTAGCCCATCCCACTGGGTACATCTGAGTCCTTATCTACTTCACTTGGCTTCTAGGTCAGCTTATTCTCCAGTGCTGTCCAGTAGAAGTAAGGTGCAAGCCTCGTGTAATTTTAAACATTCTAGTAACCACATTTAAAAAGATAAAAAGATAGGTGAAATTAATTTTAATAATACATCTTATTTAGCCCAGTATATCCAAAATATCATCATTTCAAGGTATAATCTCTATAAAAATTATTGAGATACTTTATATTCTTTTTATCATACTAAGTCTTTGAAGTTGGCATGCATTCAACACTTCTGGCACATCTCAGTGTGGACTGGCCACGCACAGGTGCTCAATAGCCACACGTGGCTTCCAGCTACCATATTGGAGAGCACAGTTCTAAGGAGAGTCTCCTCCTTGAGCGCCTTTTCCCTCTCCTTTTGCTGGATAATGACTACTTATGTGCTTTAAGTGTTACTTTAGTCAGTTTGCACGTATATTTGTGTAGCTGCTTTGTGCTGGGCGGTGAGCTGGATTCTAGTGGCCCAGTACAGAGTGAAATCAACATGGTCCTGTCTTCATGGAGCCCAGGTCTTATTCCCTTATTCTCTTTTCACTTTCCACTTTTTCTGAGGCCCTCACTATTTCCTCCCTTAACCCCCAAACAAATTAGATATATTTTCATACAGTACCCTCTGTTGCTGTGTCGTAGTCCTTATCACAATCGTAATTAAATGCTTACTTGTGTGATTATTTGTTTACTGCCTGGATTCATGTAATCCTTGTTCACTACTGTATCCCTGGTACTTAGAGCAGAGCCCAGCACCTAATAAGTTCTCCAAGTCCATTCATTCGCTCCCTCCTGTGCCAGGTATGGCCCTACTTCCTTGTGATACAGTGGTGGACAAGATGGACGTCCACCACTGTATCACCCTCGTGGGGCTTTCAGTCTGGTTGTGAGATCGAATATAAAAAAGAAGATAAGCAACAAAAATAATCTGATAGTGAAAAAGGGCGACAATAGGATGATGTGAGGGAGAGTATCTAGTCATCCAGCGTAGACTGGATGGTCAGCTCGGCCCCTCCCAACTCTATCTTCTTTATTTACTACCCTTTTGCTATCCTGAAATTAAATTACAGAGTATGTCATATACATAGAGTTTCAAAATATCTCTTTCAATATGTCAATGCTCAGCGCAAACATTGGCAGACATTATGGAATATTCAGATAACTTGTAATGAAAGTTTTAATTTGAGAGAGTGCAACTGAAAGTCATTCCTTACAAGTAGTATAGGGAAGTGATGAGGAAAAGTTATGTGGTCGACCTTGGGGGATAATGTCAGAATGAGGCAGAGAAACAATAGGTTGAAAAAAGAAATAAAAAATAATTTCAATACAATAATTTCCATAACTTAAATTTCTTATTGTGTTTTGGAAAAATTTTTTAAATTATAAGATGGCAATAATAGGAATGTTTTAATGTAATCCTGTACTGAAACTGAGATATCCCTCATTTCATATGTCACTACCAACTTAATAATATTTGGTTCCCAGTCTGTTAGAAGACGCCTCGGATCTCTTCTATTACATATGTGTGTGCAATAGCTACACATATGGTGCTACACAGATGGGTGCATTGTGTCAGCAGCTCAGATACCAAACAAGCATTGATTGCCCTCAGTGATGTCATTTTCCAAGGTGGTGAGCAACTCATAGTAAAATTCCGAAGATAGCAAAGTATAATATCCCCTGAATTACACATCAGTTGCATTCCTGGAAAATTCAGTGCAGAATATACTTTGTGTTTTAAACTAGCCTTGGGTTCTAGACTCAGATTTTTCACCAAAATGAATATATACCTGGACATTTGGCAGCCATTCAGGACACAGGGCAGTTTTTCATTGTGAGAGAATTTCCTGCACTTTCTATGATGTCTCACAGCCCTAGTCCTCATTCACATCCCTCATTCTTGGGTGAACCAAAAGCAACCCACCAGGGAATGGTTTTGCCCCGGTGAGACTAGAGTGTATCCCATCAAGACGAGGTCATGGTAGGAGATCAGGTCCGAGAAGCAGGCAGAGGTCCAGTTCAGACAGGTGTTTGAGTCCTTTCTGCTGGCCCTGTACCTTTATAAGCAGGGGACTGATAGGACCTGATTTACGTTTTAAAGTACCTCCCTGGCATCCAGGTAGGGGCAGTCTGTGGTAGGGGGACAAACATGGAGGAAGGGAAACTGGTTGGGGAATAATTGCGTGATAAGATGCGGTGGCTGGGACTAGCGTGGTAGCTGTGGAGATGGAAAGGAAACACACGGATTCTGGATGTTTAGAGCTAGGCCGGGTATGGGAGTAAGGGAAAGAGGGGGTCAGTGATAATGCCTTCATGTTTTGGCTCAGGCACCGAGTTGAATGGTGATGCTTTTTACTGAAGTGAGGAAGACGGAGGAGGAACATGTTTTGAGGGAGGACCTGTGACTGTGCTAAGTTTGCAGACTGCCTCATGTCCACGTGGGATGTCATGTAGGGAGTTGGATACATGAGTCCAAGTTCAGGGCTGGAGGTGGTACTTCTGCCATGGGACTGGATGGTATTCGCTGGGCCATGCACAGCTGGGGGAAGAATGGGGCCCAGCGCAGAGCCCTGTGGCACTTGAACATTTATTGATTGAGTAGGGGAGAAGCCAGTAAAAGGAACTGTGAAAGGGAGCCAGAGAGGTAGGAGAAACCCTTTGAGGGCAGATGCCACAGAGGCCAAGAGAGGAGAGTGGGCATAGGGGGCCATGCTGCATGCTGCCGGAGGCCTAGGACGGGGAGAATGGAGGACTGCCCTTCATCCCATGTGAAGGCAGGGAGGCCTTACAGAACACACGTATGTCTGAAAGCAAAGCTGTAAAGATGTTTTGCTGTGAAGGGGAGCTGAGTATGACTCACTTTCTGGGCCATAATTCCGGCTCAGTCTCAATGGCATAATCTTTGCTGAGTGGGGCGCTTGGCGGGGAGAGGCTAATACTTCGTGATATTCTAAGAGAGTGGAATATTAACTAGGCTAATTGTTTTGTGTAAATGTGTAGGAATCCTGACATGCAAAGTGATCATTGTCGTGAAATGCTAGAAAAGTAAAAGACAGATGGGCATATTTTGTCTTCATAAGAAGAAAAAAAGAGTTTATTCTACTTGGAAAAAGGAATGATCTCTCTTGGCATGTCTGTATGGAAAGGGTCCCTTGGATACCTACTGTCTCCCTAGCTCCATTACTCTCTAGAACTTCAGTAAGTTTCAGAGAGTTATTCTAGCTCACGGTGCATTGGGATTGAGCCTGGGTCCCTCTCTCTGTGGGACGGGGAGCAGAATGTTCACTTCGACCAAGAATTTCACACCATTCCCCCCCAGGCCAGCACATGAATCAAGTCAGGGACTTCCTTCTACTTCCTTCCTTTCTCTGTCGTGTGTTTTCTCTCTCTGTGGTACCTGTAATTCACTCACCCAGACCCCACAGGTGGAGTGCTCCTCGCTGGCCGTCATGAGCACAAACAGCAGGCACATTCCTAAGCGTGAAGTAAGCAGATGGCTCCTGGCGATTCCCCAGCTGCTCTGCAGAGGGAGGAATCCCCACTGGGGGCTACACGGACTAGCAGTTGTCCCCCCAGACATCCAGTGTTAAGGAGAGTGGGATGGGGGTTTGGACCATGAGCATTTCACAGAATAGTTAACATGAGTCTTTTATCTGTCGTCCAAAGTTTTTGCCTTTTCTTTCCAAAGCCAACACATCTGGCTGACTTCAACCAAGTGCAGACCATTCAGTATTCAAACAGCGAAGACAAGGACAGAAAAGGAATGCTACAACTAAAAATAGCAGGCGCACCCGAGGTAAGGAATACTCAGGGAAAACTAAAACCAAGTGGTATTTTAGAAATGATGATTTTGGGGGGATAAGGATGAAGTTTTCATGGATCATCAAAATCACAACTTTTTCTTACATAGTAAGTGTTACATTATGAATAATAATTAGATGCTCCCAAGAATAGAAGAAGAGACAGATTTAAAAATCAATCAGGGGCGTTATTGTGAAGATGATTGAAGATTATTGTGAATTACCAAGAAAATCAACTTCTTAGAATTATATGAAAATATTTATATATTCTGTAAAGTGTGTTATTTTCCAGACTGTGTTGTATGTGACATTCTCTGAGTGGTAATAATTATAATAATAACCACAGCAGCTACTTCCTGTCACATGTGTCACCCACTGTTCCAACACTTTACATGGAAGCCAAGAGCAGACTGTGTTATTCTCAGAACTTGTGGAAGAAGAACTTTAGATACTTTGGTTATGTCCATTCTGAGGCTCTAGGAAGTGCGTTTTTTTCTTGGAATTAAATGATACCATAAAATATTGAAACCTTTTTACAAATTGAAATTTCCTGAAAATATCTCAGGAATGTTCCTGTTTGGCACCATCATTTTCAAACTGCCTGCCTTTCTTTTTGCTGTCGCCCAAATAATATTTAGGATAATGCAGGTGAATAAGTTGTTTATTTAGGAGATTATGAATACTACATGAATTAAGACACACCTGTATTTGAAAGTAAAATACAACTTTGATTATCTCCTGGATAATGTTTAATGATAGGTCTTGAGGAAGTTTATCACAATTGCATCTTTTACATTGAAAAGAGTGATTTCTAAGCTTTTAGGCAGAACATGCTTTGCATGCTAAAAATAATGAAATTTTACTAATTTTCTTTAATGTTAGAAAAATTGTGGTGGATGGTTGATCCATGTTAGTCTAGTTTCTCAGATGAGCCATACTTGACTTACTCATTGTCTAAATTCTTCCCTTAATTAGAGTGTGCCAAAGGGGCCAGACGTTCTGAAGGAAAATATTTTTTTACCTCCTTTTGTTCTGGAAAGTGAGTCTCAGTTTAAGTGATTTTTCTGTTTTCTTCTGGGTTTGCCTTCTGTCACATTTTCTAGGAATAACAGCCTTAAATATCAAACTTCCTTTTTCACTCAAACCTTAGGACAAATCTTGTTTCCACTCCCACTCTTCTCTGTTTTCAAGTGTATCTAGGGATCTGATGTCATAGCACAGCTGTCCCTTTGATTATTGGAAAGAACAATAACGGCTCTTTCTTGGTCTTTTCCCCTTTTTAGCCTCTGACAGTGACAGCACCATCCCTAACCATTGCAGAGAATATGGCTGACTTGATAGATGGATATTGCCGGCTGGTGAATGGAGCCACGCAGTCTTTTATCATCAGACCCCAGAAAGGTGAGGTTCTGTTTCTGTTTGAGCATTCCCATTAAATTCTTAGATGAGCTCATCCTCAACAGCCTGTAATCTTTCTTTTAGGTAACTTTGTAAACGTGAAGACTAAACAAATAATTCAGCCCAGTAAATCTGTATTCTTGTTTTTGTAGGGAAGTGATCCAGCTCACAGCTTAAGAGCTGGATTTGAATAGAGCTTAAAGAAAACATTGTTTGTGTTTAGACTATTGTGTTTTGAACACCATACTTATTTTCTAGGTTACCATTAGTATTTTTAAATAAACTTTTGGGATTATATTCTGGGTTTTGTTTTGTTTTGTTTTTTTAAAGTGTCCCTTGTAACTGATATTAAATAAAGTCTCTTTCCTGTTTTTCCTTATAGATCTCAAAAACTTAGAACAGTCAAAGAACAAAAATTAGTTCTAAGTCATGATGTAAAATCAACAATTAGAATGAATAACTGTCCTAGAAACAAGGCTGTATGACTTCAGAAATGATCTGGGGTTTTGCAAGGCAGTAAGAAGGAAAGTTTTAGAGGATTGGGATTTCTGAAATAATCAAATGAAAATATTCCCAGCAGGATAATAGCATAGTGGTAGCAGGAGAAAACTGGGCTTTTGGAATTGTATCAACTTGTGGGTTCCAAGCATGAGTCCTCTGTGCTTCCATCTGTATGTAAATTAGTTAACCTTTCTGGGCCTCAGTTCTCTCATCTGTAAAACACAAAGAGTGGTACCTATCTTCTGTGGTATTGGGGAGGACAAATGACCTCATATATGTAAGAGGCTTGCAGCTGTGCCTGGCACGTACAGTATTCATGAACTTTAACTGTTGTGCCTGTCGATGCAACTAGTTGCAGTGTGATCTTGACCCAGGGTATGAACCTTGACTTTGAAATTCCCCATCTGTAAAAGAATGATACTGACTTTATAGTGCGGTGGATGGGTCCACAACAGCCCCCATAAAGCAGCCAGCTGGGTGGCAGGTTGATGCAAGATCCCTGACAGTATGCATGTGTGTGACTAGGACCGCTACAGAGGAAGGAGTCTGGAGGGGCCGAGTGGCGTGTGTCCGGGTAAGCAGAGCTGGGTTGAGTAGTGAAGAGGATGTAGAAAAGTACAAGCAGAGCAAACGACGAAGCGCTGAGCTCCTGGTGTGGACACAGCAGGAGGCCCTGCCTGCCCAGCAGTTGGGGACTCGGTGTTGACAGAGCAGTTGGAAGGAGGGGTGGGGGTGGAATACGTCTGTGCGCGCGTGCATGCGTGTGAAGCAGAGGAATCATTGAAGCCTTTATTTAAAAGTTAGTGTCGTGATGTGCTCTGAAAACAGTAGCTAAAGCCATAAGCCAAAAGGCCAGGAAGTAAGTGTGTGGATCCCAGGACACGGCTGATCTGGCAAAGATGTTTTCCCACTAAGATCAGACCAATAAAGCCTATTCATTTATTTTTTTTTCTAAAATATAGTGTAAATAAAATAAAATAGTGTATATTTTATCATAGCTTTCTTTATGTGAAATATAGTAATGAAATTGCTTTTAGAAATGTCTAAAGGCTACTCTCAGTTAAAACTTTTTCAGCCATAAGCTCTTGATTTTTCACTTTGTGCTTTAAACAAGTTTGTACCTTACAAATATTATTTAATTATATGTTTTGGGAGAATTTCTTGACAGAAAGATTGTATTTTGTGAAAAATGTTAAATGTGCCATATTGTGAGGGAAGGGATGCATACTTGTAATCATGACACAAAACCCAGAAGATATGAAGAGCAAAATTGATGGAGTTCATTGTATAAACATGAAAATGCTTCTTGTAGTAAAAGAACATGTTTTAAAGCCGTAAGACAGAGGGGAAAACATTTGTAACACAAGCAATGAAGAATTAGAATCTCTTATTTTTCAAGTGTTCTTCCAGCTCTTCTTTTTTTTGCTTGAGGAAGATTAGCCCTGAGCTAACATCTGTGCCAATCTTCCTCTATTTTTTTTTTGTACGTGGGACACCGCCACAGTGTGGCTGGTGAGTGGAGTAGGTCCATGTCCGGGATCCAAACCCATGAACCCGGCCGCTGAAGCAGAGCGTGAGGAACTTGAACCACTCGGCCACTGGGCTGGGCCCTCAGCTCATTTGAATAAGGCAGCTCAGTATAAAAATGGGCGCCTCATAGAAGAATGGACATACAAATGTCCAGTAAACATAGGACACAATGACAGATGCCATCTTATGTTTATTAGATTGGTAAAAAGACTGACCATACAAGACTGTTGGAAAATGCACTCTCACGCTTTGTTGGTATCAGTGGCAGTTGGTACAGCGTTTTCAGAGGACAGTGTTGCAGTAGCTCCCTGTCCAGTAATCCACCTCCTAGAAATCAGTCCTGCAGAACCACTGACACAGGATATTCACCCTATGCTGTTTATAATCGCACAGAATTGGACACAACCTAAGTGTCCACAGGCTGGGAATTAATAAATAAATGAGGGAACATGCGTACTTGATACAATACTGTGCAGCAGTTCATAATGATGATAGCACTATTTTGGGGTTAAAAACCTACGTGCACAAATGTATGTATATCCAAACCTGTGTATGTGAATTTATAAGCATGAAAGAAGTCTGGAAGTCTGGAAAGTTAAGTGCCCAGCTGTGGACAATGAATACTTCTAAGGAGGATGGAATTGTATTTGAAGCAGGGGAGGGAACCTTCAACTTTTTCACTTTTTTTCCACGTTATATACCTTTATGATTTTGATTTATTACAATGAATCTGTACTAATTGTTTAAATAAACAATAGATAAATGCTGTTATTCAAAAATTAAAAGTATCATTTCTAAAAATAAAAATAAAAATGTAAGTTAATACAAAGTTATGTCCTTATTCCTAAAGAATTTATCCAGAGAAATAAGACACAAACCATGTGAATGACATGAAAAGTCATATGTTATTCATTCAACTTATAAATTGAAAAGAATGTTAAAAATTAACTCCTAGAATTGGGCATTTTAGTTAGTGAGTGTTTATGTTTTTTATAATGCTGCTGCTAATAGTGTCTGTTGCCATTTTTCTCAATATTCTGTTATTTTTTTGCTTCCTGAAAATTTACTCTCTTAAGATCCTTCAGTTGTTAATCACCTCATTTACAGCCTTCTTTCTACTCCTGCCCAAGCTACTTAGGAAGTCTCTATTAACCAAATATTTAATAACTGGTTTCTTTTTCTCTCCAAGGAAGTAGAAATTTCAACAAAGAGTGCAAACAATTAGAAATCACAGATGTGTCATTTGAAAGGCCATATTATTAATTAACAGTGTTGAGTGTGGTTAAGATGGTGGTAATAGCATTCATGGGATAGTAAACTAATAATAGGATTTTCCGATTATTCTGACTTTGGTCTTCATGGTATAATAGGTTATTTTGCTTGAAATTTGGATGTCAAAAAGTCAGAGTGAGGAAGTTTGGATGGAATTCCTGCAATGTATTGGATATTATGCAGTGGTTGTATATATTCTGTGTTATTTAAGCTTCACAACTATCCCTGCAAGTTAGGCAGCACGATCTCTGGGTAAACAAACAGTTGTTCAGAAAGTCACTCACTTGGGGTCCGAGGCTGATTTAATTCTTCATTTACCAAGCAGTGGTCTGAGAGCCTCCTGAGTGCCAGAAACTCTGCTAGCTGTTAAGGACACCTGTGGGCAGGGTAAGTCTAACCTTCAAGTAGTCTGATACATGGAAGTGCTCTTACGTACGCTAAGCAGAAGCACAGGAGGGCCATTCAGAGCCCCGTGGAGTGTTCCGGGGAGAGCTGCTGTGAGGAGAGCTGCTGTGAATTGAGCTTTGAAAGGTTGAGAAATGATATTTCCACCAGAAGTAAGAGCGGGTGGAAGTGTGAAGGCAGCATGATGCATTCAGGGAAATACAATATGCAATCCCAAAGGATCAGGAAACAGTAGAGAATGAGACTGGGGAGACCTTGACAAGGGTAACTTCAGTGGCCTGGGGGGTGGAGGGAACTGATGGGACTGAGTTCAAGGGCAAATGAAAGGAGAGGAACCATGGACAGCAAGGATGACTACGCAGGGGTGTTAACAAGGAACTGCCTAGGAAGGTGTCCGAGAAATGGATGGTAGATGGGCACCTACCCACCTGCACCCCACAACCCTGCAGACACACCCAAGGATGGGAGACAGAGCAGCGTTGTGTGCCAAAAGAATCAAAGCAGTGCTTTGTGGGATGAGCTGAGGTGCTTAAATTTCATCCTAAAAGCTATCAAGAGACACTAAAATTTTAAGCAGGAGAATGACTTGATGAATTTGTATTTGGGGAAGGTTATGCTGGTAGTAACTTAGCCCAGGGATGAGTTACAAGAGAGGATTGATCAGTTAGGAGCCTGTTAGATTAATCCAGATTAAAGAGATGAAACCAGAGGGGCTCCAGACTTCCTGGTTCACAAAAGGCGGAGTAGGGAGAGCGAGTCCCCCAACCGCTGAACAGAGTCCTCAGCTTCGTCCGGCAGGAGGCAGTCACTGCGCCCAAAGTCACGAGCCCAGCCCAGTCATTGGTGGGGGCTGACCACCGTCGCTAGAGGCTCCTTGGCACACTCTCCATGGTTGTGTTCACGAAACTCCTCAGGTCACCACTCTGCAGGCCTGCTTGGTTCCTTGGCTCCTCTAGTACGTGGGTTCTTCTGGGAGCTGCACATCCTGTGGATTTGTTTTCTTTGTATTTCTCTGTGTTTACTGCATAGGTTTTGCTGTCGCTACTAGTGAGCGTTTTTATCAAAATGCTGAATGTTCAGTCCCTTGGTAAGAAATGTTGACTTTGATCATAAGAAATCCTTCATCTTTTAGAGTCTCCTGGGGAGGAAATCTCTTACCAGTTTATCACCATAGTGCTTTGTTTTGATTAGGCAGTACCTTTTAAACAATATGCACCTACAGTCAGTTTATGTTTGTTATCAATATTGAAAATAAAATCACGAAAGCCTAAGATAGACATTACTTCCTTTAAAGGTTATTGCTAAGATACTAGAATAGGACCCATCCTTCCCTGATTTCTACACATAAAGTCTTTTCAAAAGGAATACAAGGAACCTCATCTCTTTCTCCTTTTTTTTCCCCAGAAGGTGAACGGGCTTTGCCATCAATACCAAAGTAAGTGCTGCTTTGTGCATGTTGTTATTCGGTTGTGTTAGAAACTGTAAGGAAATCACTGTGCTTTATAATCCATTTGCCTGAATCATCACATTTCTACATATATGATTGGGGAACTAGAAAACAAATATTTCCAGAAAGAAATCAAATCAATTGTAAATCATGTTTATGTATTTGGGTTTAATCAAAAGTTTAAAATGAATTTTCTCTTTAAGTTCAGTAGGGAGCTCAAGAAAAGTCATAGTGATAATGCTGTGGAGGCCTGTTGCTAAACAGTCACATTATAGTCATCGCTAATCTTTATAAGAACCTGAAAATAGGTACCATTCTGGCTGTTTTACAAGTGAGAAAATTAAAAATAAGAAACTTATGTTTTTACTTGTTTGTGTCATGCATTTCATAGTAGATGTGTTGATATATAAAATTAAAAGAATTAAATAGTAATGCCAAAAGAACTTATTTAGTAACTTCTCTGTTCTCAGCCAGTGTGCTAGGAACTGGGGACCATTTGAAAGTTAAAATCTAGACATTCAGATATACAGGTAAACAAACAATTATAGCTGTGTGCTGAGTGCTCACCGGCAGAGAATACTTCACCTCGAGGGCCCTGGGTATAGGGTCAAGAGGGTGAAACCTGGGCATCATTTCTGTTCTGTTGCTCTCCCTCTTCTCCATCGCCAGTTCCCTCATTTCTGCTTCCTAAATCTATCAGATGAGCCACTTCTCCACCTTCCCACTGTCCCTCCCCTGTTTTTACTATTGTTATCACCTCTCTGGGCTACTCCGGCAGACTCAGGGTCCCCAAGACCACCCCCAGGTTCAGTGATTCTCTAGAAAGAACTCCCTGGACTCAGCATATAATCATGCTCACGGCTGTGACGTGTTACAGCAAGAGGATACAAAGCAAGACTGGGGAAGGCGCAAGGGGTGGAGTCCAGGGGAAACCAGCGCACGCTCCCAAGAGCCCTCCCAGTGGGCTCACACAAGACACACTCATTTCCTCTAGCAATGAGTTGTGATAACGTGTGAAATACTGTCTTCCAAGTAAGCTCGTTAGAGACTTAGTGCCTGGGGGTTTTATGGGAGTCTGGTCACGTCCGTACTGTTGGCCTGGCATGTACAATTCTAGATGCTCAGAAGGAAAGCAGAGGTTCAACATGAACTCTATTGTTTGTATAAACAGTTTAGGTACAGCAGACCACCCTTATTAGTTAGAGGATGGTGGGAACCCTCCTAAAATCCAAGTTCCCAAACACTAGCCAAGGGCCAGCCTCAAAAAATAGCAGTCTCAGGCCCACTAGGTTAACTTTTTTTAATTTTTTTGGTAAGGAAGATTAGCCCTGAGCTAACATCCGTTGCCGCTCCTCCTCTTTTTGCTGAGGAAGATTGGCCCTGGGCTAACATCTGTGCCCATCTTCCTCTGCTTTTTACGGGACACCTGCCACAGCATGGCTTGATAAGTGGTGCATAGGTCTGCGCCTGGGATCAAAACCTGCAAATCCCGGGCCGCTGAAGCAGAGTACGCAAACTTAACCACTGCGCCACTGGGCCGGCCCCTACTGCTAGGTTAACATTTTTCTGCACACCTCCTACCCATCTTCGTCTGACCAGTTTTGCCCATCGTCCATCCATTCTTTGTACTACAGCGTGAGGGAGCTTTCTTAATTAAAGCCATTGCGTGACTTGCTGTTGCACTGAGGATAAATGCAAACACCCTTAAGCTAGCTGGCAGCATCCCGCACGATTGTTCCCCTGCTAGCTCCTCCAGCCTCGTTTCACCATTCTCGCTCTGCTCTTCAGCTACATTGAACTGTTTTCAGTTCCTGGAGTGAACTGTCCTTTCTTTCCCTCCAGGTCTTTTTAAACGCTCTTTCCAGCATGACCCACTCTTCCTCCATCCCCCTTGTCCTCAGTTAGGCCCTGCTCATCTCTCAGGTATCATCCTTCATCACTTCCTCTGGAAATGATTCCCCAGTCCTGGAGAGCATCCCTGTGTGTTTTCCCCTAACACCTTCTACTTTGCCATAGTACTTATCACATTTTAAAAAATTACCTCTTTGCTTGTCCATACCCCTGTGGCCTCGTTGATGGCCAGGGTCATGTGGCATTGTAGGCCTGACACTGGGCAGTATCTGGCACATAATAGGTACACAGTAGCTGTGCAGGTGAGTGGAGGGATGGTAAGACCAGCTTTCTCTTAGCTTTTAGGCAGTGTGTTTCACAAACTCAACAATATTTAATAGATATTTATTAATGTCCCACATCAGGCCAGGAACTAGTGCTCAGAGTATCTTCAACTGTGGAAAGTCTTTAAGAGATGACTTTTGAGGATTAAAACATACAGGAATAATAAAATAGATATAGAAGTGAGTGAAGAAGGTAGTAAGTTAGAAGTGCTAACAGATACTAGAAACACTGAATAAATAAAACAAACTTTAAAAGAGCAGAATTTCCACAAATCATAGAGCAGCAATTATTATTGCTATTGATCAGAAAAGTGGAAGGCCCTCATACCTGAAAAAAAAGAGGGAGGAAAGGGTTTACAAAGCCTTGAGCAAGGAGATAAATAGGCAGACAAAATCAGAAAATTGCAACTCTCTATCAGAACAGATTAGCAAACACTTAATTATAACTCTAAAGATAAAGGGAAGGAGAACATCAAAAATAAATATAATCACTTCCTTTTAACCACAGCTGCACAACACATAATGGAATAAGTTGTGACAACAGCAACTTAGAAGAGGAAGGGGAAAGGAATGAAACCTGCTTAGACTAAGGGAACAAGAGGCTATCAGGGAATGGACTATCTCATCTACGAGATCTTTTATACAAACTTCATGGTACTAAATGAAAAATCAGAACAAAGACACAAATGATAAATAAAGAGAAAACTGAGAAAACCGTCATAGCCACCAAACTGAATTGGCAGTCCGAAATACACAGGACAAGAAACAAGGGAAATACAGAACAACTGAAAAGCGATAAAACGGCAGCATTAAACCCTCATGTATCAGTAAACACTCTACATGTAAGTGGATTGAATTCCCCAATCAAAAGACACAGAGTGGCTACGTGGATTAAAAAACAAGACCCAACAATTTGCTGCCTCTAGGAAACACATCTCAGTTCTAAAGACAAACACAGGCTTAGAGTGAAGGGATAGAAGACAACACTCCAAGCTGATGGCAAACAAAAGAACGCAGGTGTTGCCATATTTATATCAGACAAAGCAGACTTCAAGATAAAAAAGACAATGAGAGACAAAGAGGGGCAGTATATAATGATAAGAGGAACACTCCACCAAGAGGACATAACACTTATAAATATATATGTACCTAATACAGGAGCACCAAAGTACATAAAGCAACTATTAACTGACCTAAAAGAAGACATTAACAGCAACACGATAATAGTAGGGGACCTTAACACCCCACTGCCATCAATGGATAGATCAACTAGACAGAAAGTCAACAAGGAGATAGTGGAACTAAACGAAAAACTAGATTAGATGGACTTAATATATATAGAACGCTCCATCCAAAATCAGCAAAATATGCATTCTTCTCAAGTGCACATGGAACATTCTCAAAGTAGACCATATGTTGGGAACCAAGGGAAACCTCAATAAATTTAAGATTGAAATCATGTTAAGCATCTTTTCTGACCATAATGCTATGAAACGAGAAATCAACTACAAGAAAAAAGCTGGGAAAGGGACAGAAAAGTGGTGAAATCCATGCGGTTGTGAGAAGGTTGACCCACAACGGCATACACAAATATGGTGTAGTAGAGGGACACACCCATGTTTTGGCAACAGGATATGGAAGCAGACGACGTAAACTGCTTATGAATGTGTACCCTGTGGCTTCCCAATAAATATGGTTCAAAGATAGTTATGATAAGTCATGTAGCTGCAATAGAAGAGAAACTGGTGAAGTGTTAGAAAGCTACTTTGGTTAAACTTAAAAGATATAAGATTTCAAATACTTAAGGAATTCAATAAAAGGAACACAATTTTACAGCTCTATGCTATAATCGTTAATTATAGAGGCTGTACAGTTGCATATTGAATATTTCTAGTTCTCAAAAATGATATACTATTTTAAGTTCCAACATTTCCTAGTATAAATTCTATATACTAAGAAAAATTTCTGTTTACTACTTCTGTGGTAAATGCTTCTGTATCTGGAAAAAGTTTTCTTTTATAAAAAGATCAAGGTAACTGACATCTGAAGACTATGGGGTTCCTTTTTTCTCTGTGTTTTGTGCTTTCCAAAAATTTTAAACTGAACTATGCTTGCATTTTTTAAATGTTGCTGAAACTTCTGGCCAAAATTTTATTTTGTGTGGGTGCATACGTAAAACACTAATGTTGTTGAATCATTTCATGAAACAAGTGACCAGATACATTAAGCTTACCTCTTTCCAGTCTGTAAATAATAATAATATATATTTAATGTATTACCTGCTTCTTTACATGCTCTAAATGTAAGAAGGACCAGTCATACCACAGTATTTCAAATTATGTTTTAGAGAGCAAATTTCAATTCCAGAGGTTTTTTTCCCTCTATTTTGTAACTTTTGGGCAATCCCTTGCAGTCTAGCATTTAAATTTAAAATTTTACCCAACTCATGTACACCACATTAAATAGTTTGCAGTGTTGTAAGTGGCTGTCGTGAGTTGCTTTCTCAGAGCAGTTCAGCGTTCCTTCCGTTGTCTGTCTTAATTCTTGATCTTGAAAACGTGACGAAGTCTGGTTAAGTGCCTCAGGGAATGGAGTCCGATTTTGTAAAAGTCACCCTCTACATTGTGTAGTCTCCATGGGAAATGGCGTGGTCTTCCTGACTCTGGGCAGCCCTGTCAGCGTGAGCACGGTCATCTGGGCCCGAGTGCGGCACTCACAGCTCTGCTCCTCTCTTACAGGCTGGCCAACAGCGAGAGGCAAGGGGTGCGGACACACGCCGTCTCCGTGTCAGGTGAGAGGCTCAGCCAGAAAACCTCACAGCGAGCGGCAGGGTAGACGCGTTTACACCAGTTGTGGTAGGAGGATCCCGGTAGATTAGATGTCTGTGTGTTGTGAGTGTGGTCACTCCTAGAATAGCTTATAAAATTTAAACAGTCTGACTACCCCAAGTTGCATAACTTTACCATCATTAAATACATTTAAATATGGCTCATAGATTTTTTTTAGACAAGATATGTATGTGTGATACCAGATTACTCACGAGATTATATAGAATTCCAAGTTATTTTTCAGTTTTAATGTCATGTTAATTAGAGTGAAAATTTTTAGTTTGAAGTTGCCATTATAATTTATCTTTGTAATTCAGGAGAATTTAAGAGAATATGCTTGTATATTTATTGTTTTTTGAGTTCAGGAAATGTGAAACATTTTCAAATGGTTTTTGTCTTTCACAATGAACATAAAATGGTGTTTGAATATTGCTTTTTATAAAATACAGTTAAGATACTGGCGTAAGCAGCATCTTAACTATTGCTGGTGTGATGAGTCTGTGTACTTTGCTCGGTATGTTTTCAAAATATATGTGCCTTTTTTCCCCATTTAAACATGTGGAAAATAGAGGAAAGGGGGGAAAAGGCATCTTCTAAGGACCCAAGTTTGGTATCCTAAAATACATTCAGTGTGTATACATACATGCAGATATACGTGTATATCTGTACACACACATATATAATCTGTTCTTAGATGTATATGTTACATTTCTAAAATAATAAGTTCCTAATAACTCTAGTATTTGACAGTCTGACTTAGAAGAAACCTAATTCCTCTTAGTTTAATTTACCCTGAGTTAATTTTTCCTGAAATTTAGTTTTGTGTTTTTGCCTAGTTGATGACTGGATACTTTTTTAGTATTCTTACATACAAATGTAACTGCTTATGTTTTTATTGTGCACAAACATCCCACAAGTGCTCTCTCAAGAAATATTTGTGCTTTTATTTATACACTGAGCACAGATGCTCTAGTGATGAATTGTGTGCAACAGATGTGTGTCCGAGTGCCACAGCCTAAGAAGTCATTGTTGGCTTCCTAACGGGGTAGAGAGGAGTTGTGAGTGCTGGAGCTTGCGCTCTCGTACAGTGTCAGACGCCCGCGGGCTGCGGGGTGCCCAGCATGTTCTGGAATCAGTGGTCAATCATGCTTGCCCATGGCCGTCTCTGGACCCTCCTAACCCCAGCAGTGGCGCGGAGGCACTAAGTGGTGCTCAGCGTTTGCCCTTGTTGGTCTCATCCCTTGTTCAGTCCGTGGTGAGACAGGAGGTTCGGCAGACGTAAACCAGGCCCTCAGGGAGTTTGTATCTAGTTGGAGAGAGAAAGGCCGCCGAGTGCCAGCATGGGGAGTGTGGGGAAGGATTCTGTCTGTCAGCACAGCCTGAGTCCAGAGGAGAGAGCGGTTGCTGGGCGCCAAAGGACGTTCTGTAGTGTGTTCTGTGGAAGAGGTGAGATTTGAGCCAGTGTTGAATGATTCCTGGTAGTGCTCTGGTCCATCTCCTTACCGGGCTGAGAGCAGTTTTAGGAGTGAGACCCAGGAAGCGCTAACGTCCTTTGCTGCCGTGTGTGCCTCGAAGAGGTGCCACAGTCACTCCAGGTGGAGGAGAGAGCCAAGGCGGCCTCTTAGGTTCGTCAGGACTCTTCAGCTAGTACTGAAGTAAAGTAGGTCCTCACAGAACCTTCAGATCTTGCTCCTTCCCCCTTTTTCCTTATCCCTTTTAATCAATGTCCTCAGTTCTTCAGGTTTTAAACATCAGAGATTTTTTAGCAACTGATCATCATCAAACCTCTGGAATTTTACCTCTCCCAGCCAATCCCTCTCTCATGATTCTGCCTTCATTATTTCTTCCTGCTTATCCCTTAAGTAGAAGTTCATACTTCGGTCCCTTCTCTGTATCAATTAGTTTGATTGCTACCACATGTGTTTAATTTAAATCGGCATTCTCTGGTCAGAAACTTTCCGGAATAATTGACAATCCATCAGACAAAGTTTAGGCTCCTCGGCTCGGCCCTCAAAGTCCCTCCATCATCTGTCCACAGCCTCCCTTTCCAGTCCTCCCCTCCTCCCTTCTCCACATTGGTTTTCAGCCAAATGCAGCTGGGAATTTTGCTCCCTCCACCCACCTTCTTAGCTCTGTAGTTCTGCTCAAGCTGGTCCGTTGGCCGAGATGTTCGTTTCATCGTCACATGTCTGAGTCTTTCCATTCTTCGAGGTCAGTAATACTGTTTCGTATGTGACTGTCACTCTGGTAATTTACGGATACAGGTAAGGGAAGAACACGCAGTGTGCAGTGGATGTGTAGTGACGGCACTGATTTGTTTAGATGGCTGTTGACGCTCACTCACTCCACCTGCTGCTCACTCACTTCGGTGGAACTGGACTAACAATCTTTATATTTTCCACAAAGACTGTAGAACATAACATCTTACCAGCCTGGTCAGCCAGGAGCCTGTGCCTTAGACTTAACCCATCAGCTGTTAGGTTGATACCTAGAAAACCAGTACTGTTACTAAACCCCAAGGTTGTTTCTTTACCCAGCAACCTGGAAACCCTGCAGCATGTGGGTGTGGTACTGTCACTCCGAGGGAGAGAGCCCCACTGCTCCGGATCCCTGCGGAACTCCGCATCTGCTTCCCCCGCAGCGAGTCTGTTCTGTCTCCAGGCTAGTGGGGTGAGGCTGCAACCTGACTCTATGCCTGCCATGATTATATGCTTTTCTGTCATGCTGCGTCTCATTTCACCTCTAACCAACCCTACAAGATGGATATTATTCCAATTTTACATGTCCCATTTTATGTTAATTCAGTCGACAAACACTTATGGGGCCTGTTGTGTGCCAGGCACCATTCTGGATGCTGGGGTATGACAGTGAATAAAGCCAAGCCCGTTCCTTTATGGACTTGACACTGGGGAGGAGATAGGCCAGAGACCCTGAATAAAAATAAAGCAGGTACATCGAGAGCAAGGGGTAGGGCCTGTTTATAACTGTGGTCAAGGAAAGCCTCTCTGAGCAGGTGGCGGGCGGACAGGGACTGAATGACGTGAGAGATGCAGTCGTGCAAGTCCAGGCACCAGCAGGGGTAGTGGAGAGAGCAGGGGTGGAGGGCTAGGAGTTGCAGTGGGCAGGGTAGTCAAGACTCAGGAGCTTGGCCAAGGTAGCACACAGCCAAGAGGTGACAGGACTCTTCATTAAGCATTCGCTGTGGTATGCGCGGGAGGAAATATTATCTTGATTCATCCCTGTGACAGCCTCACCAGGTCTTTATCATCCCCCGTTTCACAGGTATGAGGAACAGACTTCAGAGAGTAAACAGACTTGTTCAGTGTCACACAGCTTGAAAATGATGGACCTAGGACTGGAACTCCGGTCCTTATTGCCCTCTAGGCCATGTTGCTCAATACCGATTAAGGGAGTTTACCCTAAGTGCAGATGAAGAAGCATTTGGGAAGATGGAGAAAGTGGGACTTGTCTAACTCCCCTGTTTCTGTTCACAACCGAAAAGTTCTTACCTGATTCTTCAAGACCAGGTTCAGATGTTACCACCTCCTAGAAGCCTTCCCTGCCTACTCCAGGATTCCTTCCCCGGAGTTCTCTAGCCCAATGTACATCTCTCTATTGTGGATAATCTTTAAATGGGTATAAGTATTTTAGAAACTTTCTGTCCACTGGACCACAACCCCATCATAGGCAAAGACATGTTCTCTTTGTCAGTTTATTGTCTGGGACATAAGTGCTTAGTAATTGTTTTTAAATAAATCAGTGAATGCCTGAGCAAAGTATGGAGCTGTGCTGGGACTTAGGGGAATGCATTCCAGGGGTGAGTACTGAAGGAAGAAAGGCAGGGATACTCAGAGCTAGCAGTGGCTTTAAGAGTCACTGGACTCTCACATGATTCCCTCTGAGCTTATCACTGTCAATTGTTCTGGACACTTTCCTAGGAGGTTTTGGACAGGGGGCGTGGAGGCTTGCCAACAGGAAGAATGAAAGTCTGGATAACTTTAGACAGTTTTCAGCTCTTGCTGGATCCTTGGTTGGGAAATAAAGCAATATCCTTACATTCCAGAGACAAGATACCAGGCTCTCATTCATATTTCATTGCAAAGTAAATGTAGTGATTAAATCATCTTCAGTGAGATCACAATTACAAATGATGTTGACTATATGGAGAATTTATCTTTGAAATCTAGACTAAGTTTCTCTATAAAAGTAAGTATAAGATGAATAGATTTACAAAAATATGTAATAAAACAGTACATTTCCTTGGGCACATTATTCTGAGAGCCTAAAGGAATTTTTCATCCTCATTATTAAGTTTGTAGGAAACTTGTGCTTATTGTAGGGCTCAGGTAGGACTTGGAGCTGAGAGGCCAGTGCTTGTGATAAGGAGTCTGTCAGTGTGATCAGAGGGGGTGGCCTGGACCAGGCATGGGTGCTGGAGCAGTGTTTGTTGTATGGGTGAAATTTCCCCAGGCGTACAGATACCTCCAAGGAAAATCAGTGAATAAAGCTGAATTTTAAATGTTTCGAAGGCATAAACTCTGGTTTTTGGTTGGTTGGTGTTTGTGTTTTAGGGTTTTGTTTTGTTTTTTAATAACCAGGCCCTTAAGCTGTAAAACCTTAAATGTGACCGGAAATACAGGGTAACACGTGATGGTAATGCCGATATGTGGTGCATATGGCTCTTGTTAAGTGTTTGAATCATACACGGTAGGAATGGAGATTGAAAACCATTTTCCCTTTTGTATCTCTGTCGTGGAGACCAAGGTAATGACCTTTTCTGTCAGTAGAAATGTTTGGTTTGATTGTTTCTGCTGAGCCCTTTGTGATGAACAAATAAATCCACCACTTTGTGATGATACTTTTTCAGTATTTGTTGCAAATTTAACAAAAAATTTTTTTTTACTTTGTAACAGATTCTTTTGGTTTAGTTGTTAATCATGCAGCATCATTTCGTTTATATGAG